ATGTGGAAGGAAATTAGGTTATGGGGTTTGTTTTGGAGTTTTTGTTCTTAAAATAACTTTTGTTAATGCATAGTTACAGAATTTGTCTGGTTTAACTTAGCTTTAACTAAGAGCTTCTGAGCGTGAATTTTTGCATTGTAAATTTAATATGCAGCGTTTTCTGGTCTTTAAAATATGTTAATAGAAGTCAACCCACCCCTGCAATAGGAGAGCAGGGTGACTCTTAATTATGATAATAAAGCCATATTGTTTACATTATTCTAGACTTAGAAGTGTATAGAATTTTTTTTTTACTGTCCAAAATAGAAGTTTGTTGCTGTCATTCAATTGGAAGGATGCTTAATGTTCTCAGTAGAAATGCAAGATGGATTCATGAGTTTCTCTTATCCTCAATATATGTTTTAGAGAACCAGAATGGTTAAGATTGTAACCTTTCCTTGGTTAAATTCAATTTGTTTCTGTTCTTTTACAGTTCCTTGTGAATATGTGACTGATTTTGCCACTGTCTGAAAATTTCCCATAGTCCAGAACTGTTTTCCATCCAGAAATGAAAAAAACTCATCCTGAAATGAAAAAAAAAAAACCTTGTTCTTGCAGGGTGGGCTGGTGGAATTATTTATTCTCATAAATAATGAGAAAACCTCAGAAAGAGACATACTCTTTGCAGAGGTAAACAAAGACTAACCTGCTTTTCTGGGTACCAAGAAGTAGCAAAGAACCCATTAAACATTGTCTGGAAGGGAGAAGGAGGACATCTTCAATGAGAAAAGAGTAATTTAGTTTCAGCTCTACTTGCAAAGCATTATATTCAGCCACTTGAACAAAGGGCAGAAATGCAACTCAAAGCTGCAAATGATTCCACCAGGCCAGAAAGCCATCCACAGGACAAAGTAATCACTTGAACATAAGAGCGCTCCCAACATCAGAAACTAGATCCAAAATTAGTTCAGCTAAAATGCTTGGCTGTGAGCTCACTGCACACTCACTAGTCATCCAAGTACCAAACATTGGGACATTTGGCTCATGCTGGATTACTATAGGTTGGTCACACCTTGCAACCATGCTTTGTACCAGGTAGCACTTTTATACTGATGGTTGTAATACCTAGGAAATTGAAATGCCTCCTAGCCTAACTATCCTTTTAACAATTCTCTGGGATAACCAGCCTTTTGCCATAAGTCAAATCTAAATATTATGTATAATAAGTAACATAATAAATATATCACTCTAGTGTCCACTGTGACTGTTACATGTCAGGCACGTTGTGAGAAGGCAAGATTGACTGGAGAAGACAATTGTGTCAGGGCAAATAGAAGGCAGAAAGAGAAGGGGAAGGGCGAATATGCGATGGATCAAAGAGTTTACGAAAGCTTAGCAGGACTGTCAAGGACAGGTCATTTTGGCAGGCATTTATTCATAGGGTACCATAAGTCAGACAATTTCGCGGCACATAACAACAGTAGAGTGCACTGTGTAGTATATATACAGCCCTTTTGTGCATTAGTATTTGATCCTATGTAAAAACCAGGATTAGCTAGCAGGTAGGAATTGATTTAAATCAGGGGTGAACATGTTCTCAAAGGGGGTGCATTGCCCACCAGCCAGAGCTCATGGGAAGGGTCATACCCTTCACCCACTACCACAAAAAAAAAACCACAGTGATTTTGGAAAAGGAAAAAAAAGTGTCAGTCATGTGCCTTGTTTACATGAAGAATTGTGTATCTGGGAACCTTCCAACAGTGCAATTTGCCTACCTATAAATTTTATATTTTTGTATTATATGTTCAAAATTATGTTTGGCTGTTGCCAGAAGTCATTCATCATTGTAATATTTTAGAGGTATCTGCACCTCCAAATGAAAGATATGTATACTTGGGTAACGATAGGAATTTTTCCTTTAGTAGGGTGTGCTGTTCATTTTGTGGGGACAAATCCTGGTTTGATGCAGCATGGTCAAGGAGGCTCAGGCTCACATTCTTCTTCTCACATGTGGTGAGTCTTTCCCTCCTTTAATAGTTTCACTGAAACCACAAAGTGTGGTTTGTCTCAAACCAGCGAAGGTATGACAGAGATATCAAAACGGGAAGAAAATATGTGAGCCCAAAATGTCCTCTTCCCCTTTAAAATTCCCTTCCCAAGGATGGAGTCAAAGAGGACAAATGTTACTTTTGTTCTTCACAACTGAAGTAATACACATGGCTATCTGAACAGGTCCCCATAAGACCATTAGGTCTAAAGTCTGAAATAAACTGTCAGAGCCACCAAAACAAGGGCTCAGCTAGGAATATAAACAATGTTGTCCATCTTTGGGTCAAAATCATATTAACTTCCATTCGCCATTCACTGTAATAGAGCTTAACATGTTTTACTTCTAATTATTATGTATGGCAGTTACATTTTCAAGTTTAGACTCTGATTTCAGTTAGTATTCTTAATTATTTTATATGTATAGTAACAGTCTGGGCTTGGATGTTGACTACTGGGTTAGGTATGGCTCCAACATGCCATATTGTAGTGTGAAGAGCAATGTTACTTGGAAAGGAGACAAAAGTATCCACGTTAGGTTGGACACTTTTGTCTTTTTAATGTATGCATTAATTTTGTTGCATATTTTGAAGTCAATTGCTTTGTGACAAATAAAAACATACTCTAAGTATTTTAAGCAATATAAAAGGATTGAACAAGGTAGCTCCTTGGTCATTTTTAATATGGTCTATTGAGAATCTTAAGTCATACTTGGCCTATGTAAGAATACAATTAGCCTTACATTCCCATTGTAAAACTCAACATCTAACCGTCAGTCTGTTTTCACTGATGCAATTCTTCTTGTGTCCATATTAGGTCAGAAGCAGTTGCATGGCACCAATAGTGATTTACAACTGCTCTCTTTAATCAAGGAAAGTACACAGAAACCTCTCATGCCAGTCCAGTTTCCGCTACAATTTATGTAGATGTTCTATGGCCAGTGACCACATTAAAGAACATTTTTATATTCTGTTCATTCCAGTTTTTTAACTGGAAACAGAGAAGCCCATAACAAGAATGCATTAGTGATTTTGATGGAATCAATGACTTCTTGCAAGAATTATGCACTCTTCTTTTGAGTCACTTAGCATCCAAGTACAAAGCAGCCTACACAACTCTAGGCCATGTGCTGGCTGTTCATTTTCTAAGCTGACACTTTATCAGTTTGGATATTGTGCTGTTAGCAAAACAGGCACCTGGATTCTTTGCCATGGGCATAAACTGCATTTAAGCATGCCGCTCCCAGATACAATTAAGTTGGTCAGAATGTAATGGGCTAAATGGAGGCTCATGTATTATGTACACTAAACAGGCAAAACATGAGGCTTTTTGTAGGCATTCGGCAAACAGACAAAAAGCACTAGGTTTTTTGTAACAAACACATAGCCCATATTTATGTTTACTTAGAATTCTATTGTATTAAAGGAGGCTTCAATGCAGGTTGGTGGACAGCAGATTGCTGTTTTAGAGTTTTAGGAAGGGCACTGCGTGACATCTGCCAATTACAATAAAAAAACTATGTGGGTTGGTTGCTGTGTGAACAACTCATGGCTCAGACAATAGACAGGTTCACTCTGGGTTGTTTGCCCCCATTCACTCTCAGCCCTTCCCGAGGGACTCCATGGCAGGGCTCACTTGCCTGCTCCCCAGTTCTATGAATGCAAACCCTTTTGCACTTGCTGTGGCTTTTTTGCCCCTTTAGCATTTTTATGGGAGACTGTGAAAACCAGCTGTCAAGTCCGAGTTCAGAATCTCCATTATGACAGTCCTGGCAACACACCAGACAACCTGTCAGTGGTTGGCAAGCAATTTTTGAAATTATTTTTGAAAACACAACAGATACAAATGTTCTCATTTAAAAACAGCTGCATTTGTGTAATTCTGGGAGTGTGGAAATCAAGTCTAGGGCTAGGCAAAGTCCTGGAGGATACCTGCAGGTACCAGTTTTGGATATTGACTGACTCCAAGAGGCCCCAAACAAGATTTTGCTTTGCTCTTGACAGAAAGGGAAAGTAAAGGCATGAGAGGTCTTTGCTTATAAAAAGGAGTGGTAAGATTAACACCCCCTTTTTCTTCCTTGCTCTGACTTTGCCCCCTTTCCTCCCAAGACTCTAGCAAAAGTGTATCCCACCCCCTTTGACAGCACAGTAATGGGTGTTTTCAAAAGTGGGCCATCACTGTAAATGTCCCTGCCAAGGGAACACAAAGTAGCAACCTATTTGGAAGGTTGCTTAGCCAGCATCCATGGCAGCAAGCACTTACCAAGACATTAGGTAGACAAGCACATTCATTCTGAGCTCTCAGAAGCATGCAATGTAGAAAATATGTGCACATTTGGGGCAACATTTCTTTTTTAAATGAGAAGCATCACGCTGTTGGCAAATGCTCCAATGCGCTATTTGGGCAAATGGAAGGAATGTCACTGACTGTAACGCTGGAGAGTGCAAAGATTTATCTCTGGGGTAAAAAAGAGGAAGAGGGAAAGATGTTACAGCAATGACAATGATGTTACACAAATGCCTTGTGATCAGAGCAGAGAGAGAAAACAAAGCAATTTCAAGCCACCAACAATCTTGGGATAACAGCTGGATAATTCAGGAGGATTGTGGGGACAAACACAGGTGCATTGTGAGTTGTTCAACCAACAACCCAGGCTGCTTGGCTGTTGTATCATGTCTATGTGTTCTAGGAGTTAAATGCACATGACAATGTGCACATATAAACAGTGTCTCACAGGTATTTGCACAGGTGTGAACTGGCTACAGTACTCTATTAGTTCAAGTTCAACCTAGATTTTACAATTATAATTTACTGTGCAAGTTTGGAGAGAAAAGATGCAATGTATCAAAAGAAAATTTATCTTCATCAATGTTCGGAAATGTGGAAGTATTTGAACAAAAATGCAATTAGGAAGCTTGTGTGCACTTGACCTAAGCTTACCTCCTCACCCAACTTTACAAATGGAATTAAAAGTATTTCTGAACACTAAGAGATCATCAACAGGTTTAATTCTTTTAAATAGTGTTATGATAGGGTATTTCAAGTATATTTACAAAACAATTTTATTTAAGTGCAAATAAACAGCATAAAATGATACAAAACTAAGGCATCTATCATGATTACCTGGCCTAAAATTACACAGCCTTGTCAGTAGCTTTCTCATGAAAATACTGCAAAAAGATTGCTGGATTACTAGTATAGAACTGATCTAGCAACTTCTTTCGTTCTTTGGCAGAGAGACTGGAGTCCTCATCAATAGTTTTTAGCAAAGATAAAAGTTCCTCTTTTGTAGTCATCTTGGCACTGTAGTGATAATCACTTTCATCAAGCCTCTGGCAGAAGGTATATCCTAAAGCAAGCATGAAAACCATAGGTAAACAAGTAGTAGTAATTCTTGATATTTCTTTTTTTGCAAGAGTTTTTCCTAAGAGTTCAGACTACATTCACTTTCAAAGGGAGGCCGATACTTTCCCCATTTTGCAGATGATGGCCAAAGGCCATGTAGCTTGGCCTATGACCACCTAGTGAGTTCATGACTAAAGAGAAATTGAGATTAGGGTTGGCAGCCCACACTCTTCACTGCATCTCAGTTTAGTTAATGAACTTTTGTATTAATAGAAATGCCCGCTCTATTAAAAATTTCTATCACATTCAGTATCTTGTATTGGTTGTCTCTAAACCCATATATATATATATATATATATATATATATATATATATATATATATGCATGCATGCATGCATGCATGCATGCAACATTAAAATAAATAGTCTGAGTTTTAGCTATTTCTTTAGAAGTGCAGTTTATACTTCTATAAACTAAGTGAGAGCTTCAGCTTCTATAAACTAAGAGAGCTTCAGCTGTTGAGTGGTATAGAAATGAAATAATTTCCACAATGGACTATGCCATATAGTAAGTATCAACAACCTATCAAATGGCAAAAAGTTTATTAAAATAAAGGTTACCTGTATTCAGGCTGGGATCTCCTCCATGTTGTACAGCTAGAAGCTTATCGCTAACCATTTTATGCAATGACCCTGGAATCTTGAGCAAAACAAAACAAAACAAAACACTGCTGTTAAATCATTAACAGTTGGATAGATTCTGCACTACAAGTTAGAGTGGGGTGGCAGGTGGAGATGGACTTTCTGTTCTTACCTTCAAGACATCTTTTTGATAGTCCACCAAGAACAAAATCAGAAGATCTGTTTTCCCTTTAGATAAATTTTTATTGTTGACTATAGCTTTAGAGAACACTCTTTTTACAGCCATCCGATTGTCACTCTACAAGAAAGGAATAAATTGTGATTGAAAAACTTGTTCTGCCCTCCTCAACTCATACTTAACTAGACTGTCTGTCCATCTTCAGACATGAGTCTCATGTTGTTCTAAGTAAAAGGTCCACTCAATGTCATATGGATGCACAGGACACACAGAATCACACCCTAAAACTCTTGTGTGGCAGCAACCTGCATGGGAACTACTGCACTGTGACTCTTTTGCAGTGCATGGTAATACAGAGAGTCCAAAAAACATAAGAGCCCAGTGTGTATCGCCTTCTCACTTCAGTGCTACAGAATATTAAAAAATGGTACAAGAAAGAAGCTGTGCTCTGGTGCCTCCAAGGCCAATAGAGGCAGAATTGGAATGTGCCCAGGCTGATCTCACTTACTTCTGTATTCAACTTTGGTTCAGAATTCTGAGCTATAACAGCCATGAAATAAAGTAGCCTCCTAAATTCCTCTCGCGTTGGGCTATCCAACAACTTTAAGTAGAGCTGAATTGCTTCTAAAGCTTGATCCATCTTTCCATTAACTGGAAGGAAACAGAATGAAAGAGGTTATGACGACACCCCCATTATATTGCTTTTTTATTTAAATGTGACTGCTGGCACCACAAACTCACTAGTATAGCACACAATTATCATTATGCTATAGTTTGCAGAATTTTAGAAATCAGTTTTCACTCCCTAAGTTTGAATACAGAAAAGTAGTTGCTTGTTGAAGCATATAGCCAGCCACCTAGGAATCTGACCCTTCCATGGGGCATTTCCTGCCCACCTCCTTTGAACAGATTTGCCACAGGTTGCCATGTCTTATTGCAAAGACCAACTACCAAGGGCTGAATCCTGCAACAGGCACTTTCCCCAGAGGGCTTCCAGATTGCAGCCCTCTATCTAATCTAGGTGTTTCCAGCCCAAACTAGACAGGGTGAGAAAATGGACAAAGTCTTGCTTCCATTTAAACTGACAGGCATTTCCTTTTGCTCCAACATCTTTTGCAAGCTCACCTTGCAAATTCACAGCTGGGATCTCTTATTTCATGCTCACAGCTGTGTCTACAGCTACAGAAGAGGGTCTCTGAGACATGCTATGCCTGGCCCCTGCAAGATGCTCTCTGGTGGAAGCAGGATTATTCTCTTAAGATTTTTTCCCTCTCAGCTTATTTAGGACTAGGACAACATTTTGACAGATACTTGCTCTAAACCATGGAGAAAAGAGAGAGGGTAAAGTTTATCCCCATTAACCACTACCTGGAGATAGATTAGACTATGGCTGCCCTATAGAAAGAATTAAAATACAAGTGTCAGAAATTTGTCTTCAGAAGAGCCTCTGAAGGCATCATGGGAGTCATCCAGGGCCTTCAGAGTTCCTCCTTTAATTGGCCAGCAGAGAAAATATTTTTTTTATTTATTTGTTGGATTTGTTTAAAAGCCCCCTGTTAACATCTTGCTCCTTGAATATCTGGATTCAGCTGTTTTGGCTTGAAATTTGTAAGCCACCTAAAAAAGTTGGTTTTATCAATTAGCAGTGCATAACTGTGTTCATCTTGCTTTGAGTACCAGTCTCCTTCAGCCCCTTTCATTTTTAACAGTTGGGCTACATATCAAAGCTAGAAATCACTGGTGGAAAAGAACAGGGTTACTATTGCCTTCTTTTTACCCTTAAAGGTGACCTAAAATACTTTACAACAATCCTTAACCATAATCACTAGTTTTACCTGCTTTTTGAACAGAGTACTGCTTGCTAAAAGATACAAAATAATATATATACTTATGAATATAAACTTCAACACTAGTAATTTGTAAGAATGTATGAAGAAAGTCTTCTGCCCCAAAGGCAAAGGAATAAATTTCTGCAACCTGAGCTAACTAATGTAGAGACTGTCAGCATACCACCAATCAAACTACCAGTACCTTCTACTTCTCACTAAACCTGCAATGCTTAGCAATATTGTAGTGCACTAAAAGTGCATCCTACCACATGTTACACTTGCAGATCTAATGAACATTCTAGCTATTTGTCAGGTGTAAAATGATAATCGGTTTTGACAGGCTGCTGGCAGAGGGCTTATCTATTTCACATGCAGCCAGACTACTCTGCTCTTCAGTGACATTTGTTACAAAGGCAATGGTACAAAAACACACCTCCAAAATATACTTGGATAAGAACAGCAGCCAAAGGCCAAATGGAGAGTAAGGGGCAAGAAAAGCAGGCACTATTACAGAGTCTTTGCCAGGATTTAAAGTGTTTTCCCCTTTCCTCCAAAGAGCTCAAAACAGTCTGTGTAAGAGGCAAGGCAAGGACCATTCAAGTTTTGGCCAGGTCCCTGTATGCTTAGTTCAGCTATATTCAGGCACAGCTTAGTTCAGCTATATTCAGAGATCAGCTATATTCAGGCACAGACATGATAAAGAAAGCCTGTAACTCTAATATGTATGACCTCCAAATGAGAGTAAGAGAAGTGGTGATAGGTGGAGTTCACACTAGTCTACAGCTTTCCAAACTTTCGGAAGGGAAGTTTCCCATATGATTCAGTCTTACTGAGAAACCTGTGCATGTTTCCACAGAGCCTAAATGTTACAACTGGTTGTGGGATACACATGGGACAGCCTATCAGGCCCCAACAAGGTACCAACAGGAAGTATATTCTACAAGCTGTACATTATAGAAGATTAGACCAGTGGAAAAGCCTCTTACAATTGCGTGCACATGGGCATCTGCCAGGCATCTAAACCTGAGTCCACATTGTGTGAAACTGCCACCTCAAGAACAAAGGCAACTGGGAAATTAGTTTGGTGCTAGGATGCCATTTCCCTTTGCAACCTCTAACAAACAGCTAAACATCAGGTACAAATGGCTCAGAAAACTAATAGTTTAGCCAAATTCATTGGCTAAGTCATTGTCACTGTGTAACTTGGGACTTTTGATTTAGACAGCAGAACCTCACCTCAGAGTTTCTGGAAGGGAAAGCCAAGGCCAACATTTTCAGGCCTCAAACAACTGTTTCTTAAAATAAACTTTTAGGAATGCTTCAGTACAAGGCACAAATTTAGGATTTTGTACTGAAGGCTACCCTGCAAGGAGATAGGTGAATGATACTGAAACAAAAGTAGCTGCAGAGCTGAACTTAGGCAGAGTGAAAGAGAGGAAATGGCAATAAGCAGAACGAAGTACAAGGAAGGACAGGCTGTTATTTATCTTTGGTCTGCTGTAACAAATGGCAGGGATGGAAGGTAGAATTGCTGGTGGTAGGCGAGAGCAGCGGTCCTCAAACTTTTTCAATAGGGGGCCAGTTGAAAGGCTGCAGTGACTGTCGTGGACCGGTGAGGTGCTGTCAGGCGCACGCGAGGCGGCAGTGGCTCATTCGCTCGGAGATCTCCCAGCGAGTCCAAAACCATCTCTGAGCGAGCAAGCCACCATCCCTCCCCGCTGCGCTGAGAGGCAGTGGTGAGCACACGTACGGGAAGCAGGCGGCCGCAGATTGCTTGCTCGGAGACCATCTCCAAGCGAGCGAACCACCACCTCCCCGCCTGTATCCGTCCCGCGGGCCATAGTTTGAGGACCCATGAGCTACAGTCACTAAAAGGAAAACCAGAATTGAATAGGCTTGACCATGTGATGTTAGGGTGTAAAATGGGACAGCCAAATTAAGTTCTAAAAGCAAGTCAGTACCAAGCAAACAGCTCTTGAAAAAGCAACAACCAGAGGCACCTGAGAACAGTTACATTTTTAGAATACAAAAGATGGGTCAGTACTGCAAAAGGAATTTAGTAGTACACAGGAAGGTGGATAGAGGTGGAAGTCAGTTTCTGAAAAGGGGGCTGTAGACACTTAATGGGTGAGATGATACTAGGCAGAATGGTCCCAAAGCTTCCGGCATTGTCAGTTACTATGTGGCAGGTATCAGCTTGATTAGAGGTGGTTGTGGGAGCAACTGGTTTAAGCACACTGTGAAACTCCATTGCTCTAGGCCAGTAATTTCCAAAGCAGGTGGTGCCATCCCCTGGGGTGATGGAAAGATCTGGGGTGGGGATGATTAGTCGTTTTAAATTTGCAGTAGAGCAATAGACCTAATACAAAGAAAGAGGAGGGAGTGCTAGGGTTGTCACCCAAGAGGAAAGGGGGCAGCAGCCCAATAGAGTTTGGAGACCAATGCTCAAGGCATTCATGCAACTGGCTTAATGGAAGAATCCTAAGGTGTGACAATTCCTTAGAATACAGCATCATTGCCTTCGACTGTGTTGGACATAAGGCAAGATGGGAGCTTCAGGACAAAAAAATAACGTGCTTTGGTAAAACTGAAAAGTCTTGCTTATGTTAGGGAATTTCAGGCTTTTCCAGAATATACCATGTAAGCTGCTGAACTACCCCATTTCCCCTTGAAGTCCCTTTTCCTGTTACAGAACCCACAAAGGTTGACCAGATAATGCTGTGAAAAAGCTTCTTGAAGATAAGAATGAAGATTCAGTCATTCATTGGCAAGTTCTGCATGCAGATAGTGCTCAAGTTTACCAGTGGTGAGGTGGCACTGATATTCCCCTTAACTACTGTGTTTAAGACCATAAGTGTGTTCAATTTGGCTAAAAATGGGGAGGGGTCCGGGAACTCATGAATTTCATTAGATTTCATTTCATCCCTCCCATGAACTCCACTTAACATGCCCCTTTCTGGAAACACTATTTTAGGCTAGTTTCCAGGATTGTGGTGAGTTCCTCCTGTAAAAATGGTCACTTCCACTATAGCCATGGCAGAGCTGGATACTGCCCACAGTTGTTCATAGTATCTGAACAGATCTTTAGGCATCCATTCCAGATGTATAGATTATGACAGTAAATACCTTGGTTGTTGGAACTTGATACACTTAGAACCTTAACATATTAGAATATGCTGGGCATCCACAAAGAATAACTTACTGCATTCTACATCATAATGGAGACAAAATTAATATGCATCTTCCTCCAATATCTTCTAAATTTAAGCTGCTACGGAGTAAGCCCAGCTCACAGTTAACTATGCATTGTGATAGAGGAAGCACTTTTACCTCTAACCACAAATCACAACCACCAACTAGAGAACTCAAGGCTGTGAAGACCACATAACTCCAAGCCACTAAGGGATGGGACATATCCTTTATCTCCCGATCCCAATTTTTCTACCCCATAATATCAAAGGCTGAAGGGAAGCAAGTGGGAGGATTTGAAACTTATCATTTGGGGATTATTTTTCTTTTTCTAAAAAGAGTCATCTGTATATCACTGGTGAACAGAAAACACCCTCTTCTCTCTTTGTGGCCTCATTTCACTGCTACTATCACTTCACTATTATCTTTACTTTTGTATTGAAAGAAAATAGGCCAAATTAAGTTTTTGTGACTAGGCGCACCTTGAATCTTTGTGCTTACCTAGCAGCTCTGCAATTCCAAGGTGGATATCCGGTGCATGATTTAAGAGTGGCTCCTTCTTTTGGCTATAGTATCTGCCAATGGCCTCAAAGAGCATTAGCTTCCTCATATGTGCTTTGTCAAGTCGATCAGGTAAATTTCGGCTTACATCAACCACCATCGGATCTGGGAGGTATTCCAAACAGTCTATTGCTGCTGACAGCCATTCATCCATCCTAGAAAAGGAAAATTCCCTCATCTGTATGTTTTCAAAAACCCCTTCCTGGCCCCAGGTAAAGTCAGTCATGACATAATTCTAATGGCTGTGGAAGTGGGGACTCAAAGCAATGTGGGAGATTTATTTTTATTTCTTTTTAAAAGGAAATTCAAAATGCCAGCAGTGCAGAGCAAATTTTGTATTGCGAATTTAACACCGAGGAAAAAGAAAATAACCTTTTTCCATGCTGAAACACCCACCTTCTTTTCCAAAGCTGCTGTTTGCTCTGTTGGGCAAAGTAAATCCTATCTGTAAATCAGCTTTTTCCTGCCCATTCACACAAATATATACACTTACTGAGAGTCACCAAAGGCTTTCAAAATCTCTCGGTCCAGGTAGTTGCTGGTGATTTTGTATTCCAATTCTGGCTTTGTTTGTGGAAAACTACATCCTGTCTTTTGGTAGTCAAGTAAAGAGTCAAGTAGTGGAAGGTCTATAAGCTGCAGAAGGCGGGCAATTGTTTGCTCTCTCCAGACTTCGTTAATAACTGGGAAAGGTGAAAGGCACAAGCCAAACAGCAAGACTGTTAGCAGGACTTATTTAAGGATCAACAAGTAATCCAACATTGCAGTATTTATTTAAGTCTAGGTGACAAAATACTTCATTGTGAATGCTTGAGGGATTTGCTTCCTGTTAATGCATTGTCAACTACAAATGTATATTGTCAAAGTTAACTAGGAGGTGATAATAGCAGTGGTTGTAGTGATCAAGCAAGGATTTGAACATATCCAAAATACTTGGCATTCTTTTCCTAGTAAATTGCAAATGATCTTTGCTGGACAGAGACTCCAATCATATAAATCATGCTAATTAGGAATAAAAAGAAAGAAGGCCTTGTTAGAGTCTTTGGAGCAGGAACAATGACACTTAGCTTTAAGGGCCTCAGCTACATTCAGGGATTCTGAAACTGAATGCTCAGAACTTGTCTGTTTGCTGCATTTTCTAAGCACTACTAGGTTTCTAGATCTTGCTTTTGGTCAATAACAAGGAGAGAGATGGCAGAAATCTACATTTTTTTAAATGAAAAGAGAACATTTGCACCTGTAGTGGCTAGGTTTTTAGGCAACAATGCCATACATCAAAATCCAAAATATGAATTAGCTTCACAGTCACAGTATAGTTTTACTTCTAGTCTAAGAAGCTTGGGTGGGGTTGGAGACAGCAGTCTATTAATGGAAAAGCAGGCAGTGTCTATACAAGCTGCTGCCAATGTGGTGTCTTCCAAATGTCTTAGACAAAAACTCCAGGTCCCTCTAGTCCTTTAGAGGGACACATTTTAGAGGGCTTGTTTATACCTGTATGAGGGACCACATTCTCTCAAGGATTTCCTATCAGAATGGCTGGCACCATCAGGCAAGGCTGAAGTTTGGAGTGGGGGGGGGAACGACACTTTACTCTTTCTTTCACCTCTGGCACATGCCTTTCTTTCCCTCCTCAAACACTTGAGCTTCTGGAGAAGGGGAAACTGACTCTTGCCAGATGTCTGAGCTGATTATTTGCAGAAAGCTTTTGAAGATTAGGCCAAGATTTGACCATTCCTGGTCTATGTAATCATTGCCTAGTTCCTCTTGCTTTCTTTCCAGACTCGCCCGGTTCCTCTTGCCTTCTTGACTCCTATTCCCTTTGACAATTGTGGTATGGTAGGGACACTGCCATGCATTGGCCATCCAACTTATCATGACTGGGAGACTACGGGCAATTGTTAGAATGCAGGTCAATACACAAGCATTTTTTTTGTTTTGAGCCCTGTGCTTTAAAATGGATAGTTTTATTTATTTATTCATTTAAGTTTTTCTATGCTATCCCATTACTAAAAGTCTCTGGACGGCTTACAGAGGACAAAAAACCAATATAGTAGAAAGGAGATTAATAAACAAGTCCTACTCCAGTCAAAAACCAAGCAACTGTTCCTGTCATTTGCTACAAGCAATTCTGATTTCTTCATGTCACTTACCTTGACGAGACAATTTTGAGGAAATATTTACTTGAGAAGAAACAGGCTTTAGACTCAAGTTTTCTAAGATATCCTCCAGACTTTCCGATTTCACTGGTGTTGTGCTGTGTAATGCTCTTTTCTCCTGTCTGCAGGAACAAGAGTGGATGATTTGAGTATCTGCACCTGAGCCAGGAAGGACTTGGTAGTAGCAGTAGCTGGGTCAGGTGTCTTACACATGAACTTTGAACTCACCACTACCCCAGCTGAAGGACAAAATAATTCATGGAAAATCATTCATTCTCCCCTCAACCCGCTCCCCAGACTACTTGAAAATAGGGATGATTAACTGATGAATGAATTCAGATTAGTTTCTCCAATCATTCAAGAATGTGGAACCTCTTTCCACTTGAGGGTTGAATTCCATTTTGGAGAAGCTGAGGTGGATTCCAGTAGTGGGGTTAGACCAAAGGCATATTTGAGCTTAAGGCTCTTGCTACCAGTAACTATGTCTCGTTTTTCACAACTTTGTAAAATGGGTGAAAACATGCACAAAATCTGCTAAACCACCCAATCATGGTGGTCAAGGGAAAGTGGGTGAGGCCCAGTTAGCAATGACGATGATAACTGCATCTGCAGATATCAGCAAAAAATGTAAGTATGAGTGTGACAAAGCTCTATTTCTGATATAGCTTCACAGTGCCCCAGGGTATCTGGTCGGTTGATACTCTATTGGGTATCCTGGATAGTTTCATCTAGGCTTAAGCTAGCCCTGTCCTCCAAAATGTGAGCAAAATTACATTTCTTTCCTTTAACATGTTATTGGTTACAGCCAGCTTGGGCTTTTGAGACCTAAGTTACTAGGAATGTAGGTCCAGCCACATAGTAATTTCTGATTTTTTGGCTAGACCACTGACTTCAGAAATTGAGCATATTACAATTCTGGATGGACTAACCATCAATCTCTGCAAAGGGGCTAGCTTTTACCCTTCAGTCCTTCTAAAGCTTTTCTAGAGCCATCTAACTGGAAGCCACACCCTCTTTCTCAGACCATCCTCTTTGCAATAATCTCCTCATAGGATCTATTATTTCAACATTGCACTTATATCCCATCTGTTTTCTTCTTGGGGAGAACCCAGGCAGGTCACATAGCTCCATTTTATTCTTACAACAGGGTTAGGGTTAGAGAGCATCATGGCTTAGTGGGGAATAGAACCCAGATCTCCTAGCTCCCTGGTTCACAGCTGGTCTACCACATATACCAGTTCTCATATCAGGTCCCAAAACTCTACTCAGTTAGGTAATGTGACTAGAGAAGTTAGTCTGAGTTTTCAATCTTATTTAGAATTCTGTCTGTTTGTGCAATTGTTGCCTTCCCTGTGCATTTTAGCTTTGGGTATGCTCTATGTAGCACTGGATACTAGCCTCTACTTTGCATGGAACAGTCAAATACATAATTCTTCTAAAGAGCAGTCTTGTCTATGTTTACTTAGAAGTAAATTCTACTGAGTCAATGGGCTTACTCCCAGGTATGTTAGTACAGAATAGCAACCTGTATCATGTACCCTACTAATATTTAACAAAATGACACAACAGAAAAATATTGAGTTTATTGCATTAAAGTTGAGTATACTGCAGTTGAGTCAGGTTTACTGCTTTATCAGTGATAAATGAGATGGCATTTTAGTTAAATCTCAGGAGAAAGATGTTAAGCATATGTCTTACATCATATGCGTAAGATCATATGTTCCACATTTATGTATGCCCTTACTCCATATACAAACTGAATTTCTGATTCGCTCATAAAGGAATACACTAAAGGACAACTTGCCCCTGATTCAGTTTTTCCATATAACTCTGTCTTCAGCCTGTATGCTCAGATCCATCCTTTTCCAATTAGCTAGACTGATACAAATCCAATCCGATCCAAAAATTGTATTTGCAGGTATCAACAAACACATTGACTTTGATCTAGTGGAAATTAGTCCAATCTTACCAAACTGAAGAAGTTAAACAATGGCTATAAACTGTGCTGGGGCAATTATGTAACACCTGTTTGCAATTTATATTATTTTATGTATGTATATATTTTTAAAATAACTCCCTTGGCATTCTTCCCATGTAATGCTAGTTGGGCTTTCAACAAACAGAACTGATTCAAAATTGTACAATCTTGCGATACTTACTCTCAAGTCATATTCTTTCCAAACTTATCTGGCAAATTGAGGAAATGTGTTGAACACTGAATAGATGAAGGCAGCTTAATGATTGCTTTAGATCAAAACAGTATAAGCTTTATGAAGCTAATAGACAGAACCCTGTACCTGGTTACACAGAGTTACTCTCACTGGTATGAGTGAATTTATCCCTATAGACTTGTGTGTTTAAAATCAACAATAAAAGCAACAGGAAATTACAATTTAATGAATTTGTATTACTTTCTTTATATACCAGAACTTTCTGGTAACTGCTGATGAACTAGTAGTTTGAGACAACTGGAAAATTTATGTACAGGGCTCTAGCCAGCCATGCCCCTTTTTGGGATACTCCAATCCATTTTACCACCCTGAGCAATTTTTCATTTTCTTTCTCTCTATAGTTAATGTTCTGGGGCCACCAAGCATGCTTCTCATTGAAAGTGGGTAGTCTCTCCCTTCATTTTTCTTAATTTGTTTTCTACTTCTGCAAACCTCAGGATAACCCCATTTGTGATGGATAGTGATATTTGAGATATATATATAAGGATTTGTACTTAGAGAATGAGCTTGCTAACAAGGAATTCTGCTGATGTCCTCCGTTCCAGAAGTTATAATTTGGGCTCATTTGTGGGATCACACTAACTAGTGTTACCTCTCAGTTGCAGCTCTGGATACTGCCCATAGTATTTAATTTTCTTAGCACCTTTATTGCACAGAGTGGTTTACAAGCCTCATCATAATCATCATAATTCATCTTTCCTGCTTATCTCAAGGACAATGGGGAACTACAGCTGGAAAATGGAAGTTTGATTAAACCTACCAATCAACTAAGGTGGAACTTCACTCCTTTTAATGTATTGTATAGCTATGACAGAACCCTTTGAACAAAGTCTACAGCCAGTTCCACAAGGTCTTATAGATCATCCTCAATTGTTGACACTTAAACAACTAACAATTGCAGTTTTTCTTTCCATGGCAAGGCCTCACCCTTTCTCCATATTAAGTGAATATACAGTTCTATGGATTATAGCCAACTCACAGAAGTACAGAATCCACTGGTTTCTGGTCATTTCAAAGGTATTTTTTAAAATGTTAAAAAACCAACCCTTCATTTCTTCTAGTTTCTGTGGATCCAGCCACAGCAACAAGTGAGGCTTACTTCTGAGCGAATATGTAAGATCAGGCTACAAGACTCAATTCCTAAACATATGGAACAGAAAGTCCCAGTGAACTGATAAGGCTTAATTCCATGTATAATTAGGATTAGACCAGAAGCACTGCACCTCCTTCAGCCTGTGGTCTGAATTCAATTTTGAAGAAGCTCTCAGAGATCACATTCCAGAAGTAGATGCAGCTGAATCCAAAAGGAGTGGGACAAAAATACCAGGACATTTTAGGTTCAAGCTCTTACTGATAGCAACTAGGAAAGGTATCTCCACCTGTCAGAATGGGGACAGACACAAAAAGGCCAGGTGCCCAGGGCATGGGTGCATGGCCACCTGTTGACTGGGACTTCAGGCAGGCCAGACTTGTCCCACAGGCCTGAAATTTAACACTTCTGCATTAGCACAAAAAATGAAGCTTCCCAGTCTTTAGTGGTTCATTTGGTACTTACCTTTGATGTATAACGTGGCCACAATCTTTCCCAAAGTGGCTATCCACTTGATTGGCAGTATTTGGGAACCTATAGAGGCTGCAGCTACTATCTTCAAACACAGGCCGTTTATCTTTTCCAAAGACTCTGGTTGAAACCGCCTCAAACACCTTGTAATCCATTAGCACCTGACACACTCGTACAACTTTCTCCCTGGAAATAGTCACATCCCCAAAGTATTTGTTCTGGAGAAGATGGGCATAGACCACGTCCACAGCATCAGAACCAATAAAACAGTCACGGTAGCTTTTCAGATTCTGACGCCGTTTCTTCACTTCAACTTGGGTCTGAAGTGCATTGATAATGCTGCTCCAGACATAAGTGGCTCCAAATGGTCTTTGTGCCACACTGAAACCTGAACAAACAGAGCAGGAGGGGCATTACCAGATGTATTTGTATTTCAGACAGTAAATCCAGACATAAGATTTTAGCAAAGTCCTTTCCTTGGCACATAACTTACCAAGAAAATATTTTGTTTGTCACTCTCCCATTCCTTGTTTGTGGGTAGTGTCTACTGACATGATCCCCAAAGATCTTATAATGGTTGCATTCTCATAAACTCAATAGTCATTTGATTTGGCCAAATGGCAGAAGGCTGTTGTACCACTGATTATCTATCTCCTGATTAAAATGACTATTATCTTATTCCTGGGAATAGGCATGGATCCAACTTTAAATCCAAATTTAAATTATTTGAATTATTGTTAAAATTAAATCAAACATGATTTCAGTAGGTCAGCTTTAAGAAAGATTACATCTGGACCCAACCCTCTGTGTATATTTTGCCTTTTTTGTTATCTGAATGCATATTATCCTGGACTATGACAAGGTCATTTGCAAACAAAACAAAAGTTGATAGCCATATAAAGTAACTTGCTATTAAGAAGCCACACAGTTCCTCAAGCTTTCTTCCCAACCATATTTGCACAGAATTTTAAAAGTGTATCCTTAGGTAGATGCAATGCTTAGTAATAAGCACATGAACTGGATTCAGAAGTTTCACACCCGGAACTTCCAGTCCATTAAAAATACTTCTGCAAAAAGTAGCTAGTATAATATGGAAGAATATTGTGAAAAATACTATACATACACACTAAGAAAGACTACATAGTTGTTTCAATGTGATGCAGGGGTATGGTTTCAAACAGAAAGAACTGGGGGAATAGAAGGATTTTTTAAAAAATTCCTCTTGTAATCTTCTAGATTGAAGTCAGAATAAATGCTATGAATTCTAAAAACACCTGCTGTTGGTTTGTAACTCATAATTATAGCCAAGTCATCTGCACAGGATGGATTTTATTATTAACACAATAATAATGCGTTTGATGTACTCACCTCATTACTCATTCCCATTTAATTGTTTATGGCGGTAGTCTGTGAGTAAAATTCTTGAGTAGACCACAAATATTAATATTACTGAGGAGTAATCATACTGAGTTAAGACACAGACTACAGTGAAACCTCCACCTTGGAACACCAAAATGGCAACTCTGGTACCGTATGTGCCAAAATAGAGAATTAATGGACTGCATCCAACATTACTCTAACTTAAATCTCACACATGTCAATGGGTTTGCTCTAGGTTGGACTAACACTGGATATAATCCAATATGGCTGGATATACTGCATAGATACAAGAACAGTTCCATTCTCTACTATGTTATAACCACAATACTTACTTTACAATACCTTAAGTGGTGAAACTTTTGCTGCTATTGAGGCTAAACAAACTCCAGGGATAACAATGCTTGTTAGTAAAATTTGGGTTGTGATGATGTCCCAGAGGGCTATCCAAACTGAGACAAAGGTATGACATCTCCAGGAAAGGATTCACCAGAGACTGGTTTCCACACATTCACACATTTGAGCTTCCCAAAGGGTGTCCCATTGCAAAGGTGGAGCTTTTCACACTTAAATGTAAACAGCAATTAAAGGCTTTTACAACAAATATTCCCGAAGGAAAACTGAGTAGCAATGCCTTCAGCTGTCAGTGAGTAGTTCAATCATGAGGGATGAATGGACAAATGTATGTTTTATTTTCCTTAATAAAAAGGAGGTCTGTCATAGAAGCAAAGCAGAAAAGTGGGCATCAAGCAAAACAACCTCGGGGCAACCTGTGAAATGAAGTCAATAAGAGAAGACGCCAACCAGCTCTGTACTTTGACTTGGAGACTAACCTGCCTGGGGGAAGGCTAGGAAAACATCAAACATACCAGAATTCGGTGGGGTGGAGGGAAGTCCACGCTGAGAGCCTGCCTCCACCTTGACCTAGAGGAGGATGACCGCGCGCTCATGATACTCCGCATGCGCGGCAAAGCAACCGAGTTGACGGAGCAGCACCAGCCGACACCGGGCCAGGAACGCCAGTAGCCCTTCCACCAGGGCTGAAGCGAGCGCTTTCCCTCGTTCAGGAGATGAGAGAGGGAGAAGGAGACGAGGCGAGGTTGCTTAAGAAAAGCCCTGGTGGAGCAGACCAAAGGTCCCTCCGTGGATTAGGATTCTGTTTCCAACGGTGGACAGCAAGAGAGGCTACACGGGACGTGCTTCCAGCGCTATCGCTCCCTCGGCTACCTTTGCCCTTGATCTGGGCTGAACGCGAACAGGTGAGCCCAAAGACAGACGCTTCCCTTTCGCAGTTCTGGCTCGACAAATTACACTTGAAACCCCCGTCCCGACGGCTCCCGTACCCGTCCTTCCCTTCCAGCTTGCCCCCGCTCTTCCGTTGTTACCTGGGGGCTTATTAGCCGGACTGTACACCGCGCCGAGTTTCAAAGCTGCCGCCTTCTCCTTCACCGTGGCCATCCCGCCAGCCGCCCTCTGCGAGCGCGTCCCGGTAAGTGCGCGAAGGAGCGCTGCCTCCTAGCGGGCTCGGTGCGGGACGGGGAAATGGGCGGCACCCACCCACCCGCCGGCCACGCCGATTGGTCCACATCGGTGCTAAGGGCGGCGCCTGCGGACGGCTTCACATTCCGGGATTGCCCGGGCTGGCCGGCGGGATCCGAGTTCTTTCGGGGGTTGAGATACGGTGGGAGCTGTGCCAATGCTTATCTGTCGGCTTTAGGATTCTTCCAAGGGCGATCGAATGCAGGGGAAGAAGAGAAGGCTGCCGTCTAGAGAGAAAAAATAATTGTACTGGTTCTTCCTGCTGTGGAAATGCCGCTCTCCAGTACAAGAGGATTCCTGTCTTCCTTGTACTGCAAAGGGTTGCCCTAAATCTCAAACGAAAAGAGGGAAGGAAAGATGAATCAATGAATCAATGACTGGGCTTGGGTGAAGAACAGCCCTAGTTAAGGATGCAGGTTGTGAAAGAAGTCCTGTAATGCCCAGCACGACCCAAGAGCATGCTGGGAGTTGTAGAACTGTTCTTCTTTGCAAACCTGTATGGGATTGTGCAGTGTGACTCAGGCCAGGAATACCTTCTATCAGCTGAGGCTGATTTTTCAGCTGTCCCTATCTGGACAGGCAGAGCCTTGCCACAGTTATCCATGTGCTAGTAACTTTACTCCTGGGTTACTGTATGTGGCCCTGCCTTTGAAAACGTCCTGGATTCTTTAGTTGGTTCAAAACAGGGCTGCATGGCTGGGAATGAGGACCCATGAGGCTATATTACGTCAGTCTTGTCAGCTACACTGGTTGCCTGTTGATGTCTGGTCCCAATTCAAAGTGCAGACGCTAACATATAAAGCCCTAAACAGCTTGGGGCCAGGGTACCTGAGGCAGCGCCCTTCATATGTTCCTACCCAGTGAGGCCTTTCTCTGAGAACCACCCCCTAAAGAAGTAAGGGGGGTGACTGTCAGGAGAAAGACCTTCTCTGCAGTTGCACTCTATCTTTGGGACATGCTCAAGGAAGCACACCTGGTGCAGCCATTGTGCTCCTGGTATCAGGTAAAGACTGTTTTATTTGCCAGATAATATTAAATTTTAATAATGTTTTTATGCAAGCTGTTTTATGCCAGATATAAAGTAGTGTTTTAGTCTTGTTATACATTTTTATTCTGTTATCTTCCCTGAGAGCTCTATGGGCTGGTATACAAATGTAATACATAAAGAAATACACCACTGCCTTCTTATGATCAGTGAAGTTTTCCACTACAACTTCAGAGTCCAAAGACATAAGGTATAGCTGAGCTCTGAGACTTCAAACGCTGAAATTTAAGCATTGTATGTCCTACCATTATGGACAATTGATTGATTGGTTTGTATCTTGGATTTGAAAAGTGCCTCCCACCTGCTTTGTAATAGAGCTCTTTTGTTAATTTCCTCCCAAAGCTTGTCTGTTATGGTGGCAAAGGCAGTTCCTATACCAAACTCTAGCCTTAGGTTGAAATGGGTATGGGTAATTGAAACTGGGAACTCTGTTCTACAGTTAGTCAGTTGCGATTAATGGCTTATTTTGACATTCAGTACAACCTTGGCTTACCTCTCAACACTATCAAGAAATAGAGGTCAAACAGAAACTGCAGATCAATAGCCCATGAGTAACTGCTGAAAGTCCAGTAAACAGGTGTGTCTTATAATATTCTGCTATTGTTATTCCGTAATAGAAGTTATGGAAATAGAAATATAGGAACAAGTTCTCCAAAAAGAAAAAGAAAAAAACCCAAATAAAGCCATGCTTGATGCATCAGAACATACAGAACTAGGCTAGCACAGCGTGAACTGAATCTCTGAGGACACTGAAACCTTTGTTTGATTTTACTAGATACAAAACAGATGTTAGCACAATTCTAAACATGTTTCTTCAGAAGTTAATTCTGCTGTGTCCAATAGTTGGATCCAGACTAAGTCTTTCTTCGAATGGACCCATTGATTTCAATGGTTCTACTCTAAGTAGGATTAAGTCTGGATCCAACTCAGTTGGGAGTACTGCATTCAGGAAAATGAATGCTGGATTGCAGCCAAAAGAGAGTTGAAGGAAGCCATCCCATCTTGTGGCTTGATTTATAAATTATAAGACAGAAAAAAAGTCCTACAACTGTCTGGCACATACTACAGAAGAGTTTTCCACTAGCATTGAGGATCTCTTCCTGCACAGTAACTGTGCATTTCAAATCACTGCACAATAGAATGTAACATGCTTATTACTTTAGCTGAAATGCAAAAAAATATATTCTAGTTAAAAATCATTATGAAAGAAAGCATGGCATATCAGGCAACATTTATGTCAAAAATACCATTACATTGCTTTTACTAAGATCCTTGGGGTTTCAGAGTTTTATTCTGCCAGTATGAGTATCTCCAAGAGGGCTACTGCTCAGAATACCCTTGGTAGTCATAAGGGGAGAGGGGCCACTCCTTGCAGATTTTCTGCCCCCTCTGCAACTGTCAGGGCCACCCCTTCCCCTCCCAAATCTCCACTGGATCAAATGCTTCCTGCTGATGGATGGATGACTTTGTTTGGATCCGGGTTGGGGTTTTCAGACTTTGCCATGGTGAGCTGAGCTGTCCTAAATGTAACTCAGACAAAACAATGATGTGATGAACTGTACAGTACAACTGACACTGTTTATTTTTGCATTAGGATGCAAATTAAACAGATCAAGAAATGGGAAGGAAAAGTAAAGCACACTTCTGTAAAGCCTGGAAAACCTTTAAAACAGCTTTGTTTTTTCTTTTCCAAAGAATTTACTAAAGTAACATTTCACTACAGGCCAAGGCCAAGTATTATATTTCGACCAGTATGCATAGGTGTGAAAGGTGGACAATGAAGAAAACTGATTGGAAGAAAATTGAACCATAGTGTTGGAGAAGAGTTTTGCTAATACCTTGAGCTGACAGAAAGATGAACAAGTAGATCCTAGAGCAAATCAAGCCAGAACTTTCACTTGAGAGCCAGTGTGGTGTAATGGTTATGAGTGCGGGATGGGGACTCAGGCGATCTGGGTTCTAGTCCTCGCTCAGCCATGGAGCTCATTGGATGACTTTGAGCCAGTCATAGACTCTTAGCCTAACCTACCTCTCAGGGTTGTTGTTGTGAGGATAACATTGAGAAGAGGAGGGGAATTATGTAAGCTGGCTTGAGTTCTGTGGAAGGACTAAATTAAAGAAGCAAAAATGACAAAACTCAGGCTGTCATATTTTGGACACATCATGAGAAAACAGGACTCATTGGAAAAGACAATCATGCTTCGTTGTTAGTTGCAAAGTCGTGTCCGACCCATTGCGACCCCATGGACAGCATTCCTCCAGGCCTTCCTGTCTTCCACCATCTCCCGGAATCCACTTAAGCTCACAACAGTTATGCTTAAGAAAGGGCAAAAGAAGAAAAGGAAGACCACATTCAAGATGAACTGACTACAAAAAAGCAACAGGCTTGAATTTACAGAAGCTGAGCAGGGCTGTGAAAGGCACACTATTTTGGACAACATTCATTCATAAGGTCACCATAAGTCTGAGACAACTTGATGACAGATAATAACAGCAAGATTATTCTACCAAGGCAATCCTGTACACAATTACCTGTGAGGTAGTCCCATTGGATGGAATGAAACTTACTTCTAAGTAGGGTTATGAGTGGTTTCATTGTAAAAAGAAAAAGTACAACAAAATTAGGACTAGCCAGACTTGTGGCAGTGCTGATACTGAGAAATGGGGGCCTGTCAAACATATCATCATCTAGCCTGTTTGAAAAACACCCAGTCGACAAACTTGTACGGGACTTCGTGCCTCCATGATGCCCTTAGTTGCTGAAAGTCTCCTTTAATCACTTTATCTGTCAACCTCTGTTTATCCCAAAGTAAAATTTCCCTTACATGGTATTACTACAGGACACAAGTAAAGCTATTTGGTATCGAGGATGGTTCTGAGCCAGCTAGAGTTATCCATTCTTCAGTTTTCTTGAACACTTATCCTTTGTAATTTCCACTGATATAAATAGGGCATGAAAAATGTGGCTGCATTGTGCCCCATTATTTCTTTTCAATGGAGACTGAATTTTCTACATCCTTGCATTTAAAATCCTTGGACTCTAAATAAATAACATCTCATTTACTTAATGCATGGGAATAAAGCTTGAATGACTTCATACTAGTAGGAGCTTTTATTTTTTAATAGAGAGTAGTCTTTAGACCTTGTATCTTGAGTGCTGTTGAATTATATTAAATGTTATTTACCATAAATATTTCATAAACATTCCAGTTATTTTGAATGGCCCCTCATCTGCATCTCCTTTCTGCATATGAACAATGGTTTCATTCAATCAAACTGAAGCTAATCTGAAGAACCCAGTACAACAGTGAATACATTTCGAATAGTTGCTTGTGAAAATGTGCCCTGCATACATTATTCTAAAGAGATCAGTGGATTTTTAGCACATAGTGCATACTCTCAGAAGTTCTACTATAGAAAATTAGCAGCCCTGTTTATATTTGTAATATTTCCTTGCTTAAAGCCACAAATATTATAAATAGCTCAAATTCCAGCACAGTACCTTTGTATGGCACATAGTCATTCAGGTGGTATGTAAAATATATGGTTTGGATCCTGAGATCCCATGTGTGGGATCTAATTTGCCATAATCTTTGAAAGATTAGGGACCCCTCCCCCTCCAGTCTTGAAGGTGTGTGTGTGGGGACTTTAAAAGAAGGGAAGTCAGTGAAAATCATGTCTTCTCCCACTACCAAGAATCAAAGGCCCTTTGGTGGTGCACTTCCGTTTGTTGAAGGGCATCTCAGAATCCAGGCCCTGATAATGAAATTCGGTATGTCAAATATGGGTATTTCCATGGGTAACAGAAATGGATGAGAATTATAAAAACAAAAAATGAAGTGGCAGGTCACAGTTTTATTCCTTGGAGTAGCCCAATGCATTTTAACCCCTTAC